GAAAGAAGACCTGCGAGTGAGACCTGCCATATGGAGGCAGTTTTAGGTCAATAGAAGGAAGAACTTTTGCACACACACACACACACACACACACACACACACACACACACACACACACCCCTAGCAGTGAGTGGGGTAGAAATTTGATCATGTCACCCCCTTAAAAAAACCGCTGGATAGTTTCCAGTGCTCTTAGGACGAAGTCCAAGTTCCTGAGCAGGGTTTACAGGCCCTGTGTGGCCTGGCCTTTTGCGGGTGTCCAGCCCCAGCTTGTGCCCACTCCTCCCTTACTCAGCTGGCCGCAGCCATACCGACCTTTCAGTCCCTGGCGCACAGTAGGCTTCACTGCCCCTCCTGGTCTTGACCACGAAGGTCCTCCTGCCTGGATGGTCTTTTTCTTTTCTATACCAAACCCACTCCTTTTCATGCCAGTTTTCCCATCCTCACGGAATCTTTCCTGAGCCCTAGAAGAGGGTAGTTAGAGTGTTGGCCCATGGACTGAAGGGTCCCGGGTTTGCCCTCTGTGCCCTTATCAGAGTCCTGCCTTCACGTTACTTTTTTCACACTTGGAGCAATGTTAGTCTCCCCTACTAATCTGTAAATTCTCTGAAGGCAGGGAATGTAATTTTACTCAAAATACTGCAGAGCCTGCACATAGTAAGAACTCAACATATACCTACTGAAGTGAGCAGGGGAGGGGAAGAGGAAGGAACTGGGAAGGTTCAAGCAGAAGATATGAGGAACCATCTTCCGGGAAAGGACTGAAAATATCCCTGCGCTGGGCGGAAAGACTGGACCAGGTGAAGCTATTCAGCAAGTGCTTGCTAAGCACACACTATGTTCCAGGGGCTGGGTGCAGAGGACAAGTACCGAATCAGCCCCTGCACTGATGCAGGTCCCTTTCCATTCTAACAGCTAGTGATTAAATGTGGCAAATCCATTTAGCACCATAAGACAGAGAAAGCAACAAAAAATGAAAACGTATGGCATTCTGGACCAAGTTGCCACCCCAAACCGAGGCCATATCTAATTTCACTAAATACACATTATTGATGTTGAATATTAGAATTTCTTATTTTTGGTGAGCCACAGTATAATAAACAGAGAATGGAAGAGGGAGAATTAAGTTAATATCTGTGGAAAGCAACAGTGAGAACAAAAATAAGGAACCAGCCCTAGTCAATTTGGCTCAGTGGTTAGAGTGTTGGCCCATGGACTGAAGGGTCCCGGGTTTGATTCCAACCAAGGGCACGTACCTCGGTTCCAGGTTTGGCCTGACCAGCGCGGAAGGCAACCAATCTATGTGCCTCTCTCACATCGATGTTTCTCTCTCTCTCTCCCTCCCTTCCACTCTCTCTGAAAAGCAATGGAAAAATACCCTCAGGTGAGGATTATAAAAATATATATACGCACACACACACACACACACGTGTGTGTATAAAATAAGGAACCAGTCCAGTGATTCAGATGAACATTTCTCAATAATCACTGAGTGCACATTAATCAAAGCCCAACTGAGTTTGTTTCCACTAAGACCTTCCAAAGAGTTCCAATATAGAAGGACAGAAATGAGAAAAATTCTAATTCCCCTTTTCCAAGACGTAGCCAGTCATAAAAGCCTCCGCTCAGAATCCACTGCTTTTAAGAACTTAACTTTTGCGCTCTAAAACCACGGAGCTCCGGTGAAAGCATCAAGTCAGACTTACAGCATCTTCTGTCAGGAGAGGAAGCCAGAGGGACCACGAGGAATGGAAGGGACAGAGGATCGTGATGGAAGAGGCCAGAGCTAATTCTGGGTTTTAAGAGGACAACACAAACTCTTTGCCGATATTTCTATATGATTTCTGCTTTTATTCTTTACTCGCTGGCCTACTTAAAGTTGCTTGGGAGACTCACCTATCATTATTAGATATATTTCTGCTCTCATTTAATCTGAAGCATGCTGCCCAGAGCTGGCCTTGTAAGAAGCAGCCTGAAGGCACATTAGTGCCACAGTTCATGGGCTCTGTCCCGGGACGCTCGGCAGCCACTGCTTTCTCCGTCCAAGGTGTCTTAGCACCTAGGCGCGTACTCGTGTCCCCTTCTGGTGTGCCTGCAAGCGTTTTGTGCCCGGAAGGAGCGATGTGGTATTTTAAGATAAGGAATATCATCAGGTCACACTAGTCCACAAAACCATAAGAAGAAAGAACATGGAGAGAGACTGAAGATGCAGTCGGGGGAGAAGATAATTCATGGAGGAAGATTTTGGAGGAGGTGTGGGGTGGAGCAAATAAATGCCTGCTCGCCTGAAAAGTCATTTGAAGACTGACCTCCAGAGGTCAGGGTTCTCTAACTTGGAAACTATTCAACTTTACAACTTCTCTATTGTTTATACTTGTTCCTTCATATCAAAGTAATACAATAAAATGATAATAATTCAAGAAAAGTTTGCTGTTTAGCTCTCAGCATGTAGCCATTCATAATACAAATTTAAACTCAGCTGACTTCATTGCATTGAAAATGTTTGGGTTCCCATTACTTAAGGCCTAAGCGGATCAGTGGATTTAAGAATCACATTTATAAATGTAGTTTTATAAATGCCTATACAATAGAATGAGCATGATATAAATAATTTACTATTTAGTCATAACCAGTGGGTAAATACCCGGATACATTTTGTGTCAAGGCTCATTAGTAAAAAAAAAAAAAAAATGTGGAAAGTGGCTGTCAAATTAGTGGTAAAGGTACAGGAAGCTGACTTCTGTGACCATCAGAATACTAAGATTCATTGTCTCATTCTACTATTTTTAGAACCAATTAAATAACCCACCTCTGAGGAAATGTAACATTTCCTAGGCATTTGAGAGTAGTTAATTTGGGATGTGTGTCTTCGTTCTTTTTTAAATTCTGTATTATGGAAAGCTTCAAGCATACACAAAAAAAGAGGAGAGTATAATGAAACTTCATGTACCCATCACTCAGCTTCAACAATCTTGTTTCTTCTACACCCCTACTTATTTCCCCTACAAATTATTTTGAAGTGAAGCTCGGAAATCACTTTATTTCATCTACTTTATTTCATCTATGTCTATGTATTACAATTTTTACTATTATTTCCAGTGCTTAGCTCCTGGGATTAAATTATTTATCAGTCATCACAGACATGTAATAAGAACAACAGCAACAAGTTTCTCAATAAATATTTGTTGAAAGAATGAATGAACAAAAGCCTGATATTTATTGAGCACTTGCTGTGTGCCAGGCCCTGTACTCTGTACCTTGTGTGCACAATTCACTTAATCCTTATAACAACTCAAATCCGCACCCCATCCAGGACAACACTGAATATTTTAATAAGGTTCAGAATTTAGGCCTTTGAGAATGAAAGTAAATGTGGCAAAACATTAAAAATTGGTGAATCTGAGTAAAGATATATGGGAGCTCTTTATACTAGTATTGCAACTTTGTGCTTTAATTATTTCTAAATAAAAAGTTAAAAATTTGAAGTAGGGCCACTTTTTTTCTCAACTAACAAAGTTCAAGGAAGACTCTGAGTGACATTGTTCATAATAGGCAAGGGTTCCTATCATTTTGGTCCCTATGAAATGAGAACCTGAGTCAGGTTTAGGTTTAGATCAGTTTGGGAGTGGGAGGGGGGGTAGACGATCTCAGGAAGCAGAAGTGAGGAAATGGGAAGAATGACAGGAAAGAAGAGAGACAACACAGGAACGCATTGTCAGTTGATCTCTTATTGTAGGCACCTGGGACTAATTCTGCTGGGCCAGTGGTTGGCAGCCTCCAAGACGCCCCCAATGATCCCTGCCTCCTGTGGTCACACCTGTGTGAAGTGTCCTCCTGCACTCTACCAGGGTTGGTCTATGTGACTAAAACAGCAGAAGTGATGGTATGTCACTTTTGAGATTAGGTCATAAAAGAAGACTCTGACTTCCATTTCAGGCACTGGCCCTCTTTTAGACCACTCACTCTGGGGAAGCCATACATGAGGAGGCCCAGAAAGGGCTCCGCATGGTGAGGTGAAGCCTCGCCACAGCCACATGAGTGAGCTGGAAGTGGATGGTTTAGACGCAGTCACGCCTCAGGTGACAGCAGCCTTGGCTAACACACTGATTGCAGCCTTGTGAGAGATTCCGGGCCAGAACAACCCAGCTAAGCTGCTCCCTGATCCCTGACCTACAGAAACTGTGAAACAAGAAATGTGTTATTTTAAGCCACCAAGTTTGAGGTAATTTGTTACAAAGCAACAGGTAACTAATACAGGCCCCTCTGAGGAACTGTGTTGAATATACTTCAAAAACCATCCACCAAAGATTGGGAGGCCAAGGCATTTACCCCCAAAGCCTCCAAACCTGAGGAAGAATACTGTCAACATGTCAGAGCTAACCGAGCTGAAATAAGATGTGGGCTGGGGGTATGTGAGTTGGGGGCATCAGTAAGCTTCTGCTAGAGTATCTCATGATAGCACATTTTAACTTTGCCAAGACAAGATACCGGTTTCACATCATGTGAAGCTCTCCTTAGGAGCTTCTCCCTCTTTATCTTCTGTGTTAGTCTTTCAAAGTCTGCAAAGTTTATTTCACAGAAACATTACCTAGGCAGAACTGGAATTTTAAAGACTTTTGTAATTAAAAAATACCCAAAGAAGAAAAGTTTAAAACACAAAAAACTGTATTCACAGATCACCATTGATAAAACTGTCTTTGACTATGCTGTAAAAATGCATATAAATTTTATTGAAATTATGTTAGTCATAGTTTTATGGACTGCTTTTTTCTTTTTAAAATCCTCACCCAAGGCTTAGAGAGAAGGGAAAGAGAGAGAAACATCGACGTGAGAGAGAAAAATATTGATTGATTGCCTTCCGTAAGTGCCCTGAACAGGGTTTGAACCCAAAACCCAGGTATGTGCCCTGACCAGGAATCGCACTGGCAACCTTTCAGTTCACAGGATAACACTCAACCAACTGAGCCACTCCTGCGGGGCTGGACTGCTTTTATCGCTAACAAATAACTGAGAAAAATGTCCAGTGTGAAATGATACCACTTTACTAGCTAAATCTCAAACACGCCATTCAGTGACGAGCAACAGTATATCTTATCAAGTTTCGGTTATGTTTTCCAGTATGAGGAAGTTACCAGCTGGAGCTTTGAGCAAGGCAGGGTGTGGCATCGTTTATTTAGGCCATAAATACAGCCCATGCCCTGACCCCCATGGAGGCACTTCTAAGTGCATATCAAAATAATCTTCCAATTGTGTTTTTCAATCTCTTTTAAGATTTTTCATTAAAAATCGAAATGAGCTGAGCCAGTGGGCCGGCTTCCTGTCTTCAGCTGCTGAGCCAGGAGCCTGGCCTTGTACTCGTGCCACACTTGCTGCCGGGCCAGGTACTCCCGAACGGCCTCCTCGGCGGGGTGGGCGCACACCAGCTCCAAAGCAGCGCTCCTGGACTCAGGGCTGGCTTCTGCCAGAAACAAGTTCTTGGGAATAAAAATGCACTCCGCTCCTTGACTAATCTAGAAGACAGAATAAACATATTTATTTTCAGTTGTTTCATTCACAAGGGAAAGGTAGTTGAGGGTCAAACACGGATTTGGAAGAGTTAATGTGCCCCTCAACCCCGCCCGAGGGCCTAATCAATCAGCAGGGATGTGCTGTGCACACGGGAGCTGCTGACTGCTCTACCCAGCCCGGGAACCAGGGTGGCCGCTGGGAAGGGCATTTGGGTCCATGCAGTCCTGACAGTTCTCCTACCAAAGCCTTAAGGGATTCCGCATAAGGACTATAAGAGGACTAGTTAAGAAAATATGAACCCTCAGTGGGATAAGCTACGCCCAGTTTTTATGTAAGCTAGGTAGTTACACAGCGGCTTGCAGGTAGCACGGAGCGTGTGTCTGAAGTTACCTGCTCACCTCCCTCAGCGATAGGCTCTGTGCCCTGGCCTGCTCCTAGTCCGGATCTGCCTCTTCCGCTGCGGGTCGGGTTCCCGCCTCTGACCTCTGCGGTGCACTTGTTTTAGATGGGTCCCTACGTGCCAGGGTCAGAGGTGTGAACAAGGGACTTGTCCCTTTCTCATAATAGACTTCATCCTCGATTCAGTTAGTCAAAATTTCTGCCTCTCCCAAGGTTCAGCAGCGGTGTTTCTTTTGGTTTTGCAGTTTGGGTCTTTTTAAAATTGTTACTGCCCAATGCCAATGCTCACACATTAGGGCCTCTTAAATACTTTCTGTAGCAGCATGGGAGTGAATTAGAAGCCTCTAAGATTTTAAAGGAGGAAAACAGGATATTCTGGGTTGGATATGCCTGAAATGCAGTCTCTTATTTTTTAAGCGCCTTTTTTTCTAGAGTTGCTCCACTGCTCCGACACAAATGCCTCTATTGCAAGTGCCTGCTCAGGAAGGCAGAGGCGGGCCTCAGAGCAAACAGCTCTGCAGGCTAGTTCAGTGTGGATTCTACAGGCAAGGCTCTGGTTATGTGAGGGTCAAACTTTCCTTGAATAAGTACTGTTACTTTATATTATTTCAAAGCTTTTGTGATTCTCAAAAAGTGAGAGAAAAGCCCGAGTCTTTTTAAGGTTTCAGTTAAAATGGCATAAATCCTGACATGAAACATAGCACATGAAAAAAGGTATTTACTCTGGAAAAAAACAAACCACCACCAATGAGACCAAATACAATTACAAGGCAAATTTTAAAAATTTAATTATATTTACATTATTTTAATAATTCTGAACCTGCAGTTTTCTATTCTCATGAGGTCAACCTCCTCTTTGGATTTTTACCTTGTGGAATGCAGCTAGAAACCTTTTTGTCTGTGAGCTCCTGTGTGCTGACTGAGTGAACAAAGCATATGACTTTGCTAAGACTGATTCAGGGACCATTTTGAAAAAAGGCCACGTTCTTACCAGGTACAAGTGAAGATCACATGAATTGTCCAATGTTTCTTCTAAGCCCTAAAATTGTAAGAGAACCTCAGTCACTAAAAATAAAAAGTACTTCTTTATCAATTAAATTAAGCAAGAGACAAGAAAAGTCAAGTCAGAAACATGCTTGTTTGTTTTTTAATTAATTCTACTGAATCAATGGACCTATACATGGTTTTCCAGGAGTCAAAAAAAAATGGGAATCTAAACTGTGTTTACAGGATTCTAAAATAAATATGAAGCTGAGAATCATATATTCATAAGGAATGAGCCATACCACCAATTAAAACTTAACAGACGCAAGGCACATAATCTGTTTTTGTTAAGTTTTAAGAAATTTTCCTAATGGCAAAAATGAATTATTAGTACTTTTGGGGGTAGTGGGACTTGAGCTGGCACTTGTAAGACAGAATAGTTTTTGCTCAAGAGAGCAAAGTAATAGTTGTTAGACTATCAAGGAACATGTAAATATTCATTTAAAATTATTGTTTATTGTTTCCATTATATATTTGTAAATAAATAAAATATATATGAGACTTCTAATAGCAAGTTCTGAGAAGACTGTAATTTAATCTTAAGACTCATTACTCCTGGGTGTAAAAAAGCCAGATAATGTGAGGCCAAATGAGCTTTGTTTCTGATTCTCCACCTGAACCCCATCCTTAAAGACACTGAGCGGTGACAACACGCAAAGGCCATAATCATTAACCTTCCTCCATTGGTGACCACCCAAAGTTCTAGAAATGAAGGCATTTCTTCTTTTGAGGTATACAGTAAATGATAATCCATAAAAGTTCCTGAAAGGTATCATATACCTGCCTGTTGGAAATGACTAGCAATGGGGAAATACTTTTTTTAAAATGTGTGAGAGACTGTGAGAAAGCTAAATGAGATTTGGGCCTTTAAGAAATCTTAGTCTCCTTTGGAACATAAGACTAATCAACAATCTTTGAATTGATCTAATTGCATTCTAAAAAAAAACAAAACAAAACCAATAATCTATTTTTAAAAATAAACTGAACTCATGTAAGGACGGAAATTACATGTTTTGCATACCTAATATGTGCCAGGCACTGGGCATATATTTTCTCACTTAATCCTCACAGCAATGCTATGAAGTGGATATAATTCTTTTCATTTTTTAGGTGAGGAAACTGAGGCTCATACAGGTGAGGTGGCTTGGATAAGGTCACATAACTAGGGAGTGACAGTCCCAAGAAGCCAATGCAAGCCAATGTCTCTGGGTCCAACGTCCATGATATTTTCATTACTACTGGGATACCCAGAGGAAAAGTGGGAGGGAAAAAAATCATTGTGAGATACACTTTAAAGGAAAATTTGCAAATGTTTTTAACTTCTTGGATATTGATATTAATATCATGACTTTATTAACAAAATTATATGGAGCCTTGATTGAATATTAATGAAATTTTTCATAAATGAGGTAAAGCAGGAACATAGGAAACAGAAACCCAATTAAATGTGTTGAAGGAATCAGATTAGGTTTATCCACCTATTTGAAAAGGCTCAATCATTTAAATAAATGTATTATTATTCTCTTATGTAATGTTTTTAATGTTACAATTTTAAATTTAGAAGGCAACACCGTGTAGAAGAAAAAAGCATTAGATTAGAAGATCTGAATTTGATTTTTAGCCCCCAAATTATTGTGGTATACTCTTGGGCAGTTCATTTAATCAGTTTTAATCTTGTAGGAATATTAATACCTATCCTACTCCACCCAGCCATCTACTCACCCACCTACCCATTCACCCATCCATTCATCCACCCACCCACACAACCATCCACTTATTCAATTGCCCATTCAATATACATTTATTAAGCACCTAAGTGCCAGTCACTGGAGACATTTTACACTAGACTCAGGCCCTGCCCTTAAGAAGCCCACTGTCTAGAAAGAAAGACAGACATGAACATAAAGCAATGTAGTAAAATGTGGTGGGTATTGTAAAGAAAACCTGTTCCAGCTGCAGTGGGCAGAAAGGAAAGGTCACTTCTACTTGGCGAGAGGTGGCGGGGAAGGACATCTCACAGACACCATGGGAGAAAGAGGATAGGCGTCACGGAAAGGGTGACACTTGAGCTAAGCCTTGGTAAAGCATGAGTAATTTTTCCCAGTGACTCTGGGGTGTGATGCTGGGAAGGGTGTTCCAGCCAGAGGCAACCACATAAATAAATAGCCGAAGGTATGATACGGTGTGGCAGTCAGCACACCACATGCAGTTTGAGGGCTGAGATGTAGGGTGGGAGGGAGATAAAGCAAGAGATGAGGCTAGAGTGGACGGTTTGCCATTATGAGGAGGTTTAATTTTATTCTGTGGGCATTGGGAATTATTAAAATGCCTTAAATTAGAGTAAAAGGATCAGATTTGCATTTGAGAAAGGCTATAGCTGTAGAGACTCAGTATGAGATTATTATAAGAAAACATATGAAGACCCATTGTAAACTACAAATCACTGCATAGATTGATATATAAATGCTTGCTTTTCTTTTTAGTTCAATATAAGCCATTGTTGGCTATATTCTAGACCATGTGTGACAGAGAAAATATGAATTCTATGTAATTCTATGAACTTATTTAAATAAATAAACCTATGAAACTTAAAATATAAATGAATTGTAATAATAAACTAAGAAAACTTACAAAAACTTCACCTTGCTCCAGAACTCTTATCTCAACAAAACACGCTGCTGGTGAAGACCCCTAAAAAGAATGTCAAAAGCTTGGTGAGCTTTGAAAATAACAAGTGTTGGCAAGGATGTGGAGATGCGGGGACCCTTTGCAGCGTTGGTGGGGACGTAAGTGGATGCAGCCACTATGGAAAATGGAATGGTGGGTCCTCAAAATTTTTAAAATAGAATTGCCATATGATCCAACAATTCCACTTCTGAGTATACATCCGAAAAGTGGGAATGCAGGGTCTCGTGGTGATATTTGTATAGCCAGGTTCATAGCAGCACCATTCACAATAGCAAAAAAGTAGAAGCAGTCAAAGGATCCACTGGTGGACAGATGGATAAACAAAATGCGGTCTATGTACATATAATGGAATATCACTCACTTCGGGAAAGAAAAGGAAATTCCGACCATGCTGCTGCATGGAAAAACCTTGAGGACAACATGCTAAGTGAAATAAGCCAGTCACCAAATGACAAGTGCTCTGTGAATCCACTTATATGAGGTCGCTAAAGGGGTCAAATTCATAGAAACAGAAAGTAGAACGGTGGTTGCCAGTGCCTGTGGGAGGGAGAAATGGAGTGTTGTTGTTTAATGGGGACAAAGTTTCAGTTTGGGAAGGTGAAAAAGTTCTGGAGATTGGTTGCTCAATAATGTGAATATATTTGAAACTACTGAACTCTACCCTTAAAAATGATTTAGACGGTGGTTTTATGTTATGTGTATTTACTACAATTAAAAATAGATTGATAATTTAATAGATTAAAATTCATTGAAGGGATGTATAAATAATGATCATCAAATAAAAGACTTTAAAAATATTTATAGTGTTGGGGCTTTTTTTCTTTCTTTTTTTGTTTTTTGGTGGGAGAGGTAGTAGTTTATAGTCAGAGAAATTATACATTGTGTCTCCATTTGACACTAAATTAAACTAAACTACTATACCCTTTTGGAACATTATGAAGGGAATCAAATTACTTTATTACTTTTAATTAAATAGCAGCTTAAAATAAGCAGAAATACCACATATTGTTTGTGTTTTCACAATAACTCAAAAATAAATTCAAGATCAGAAATTAAGGAGGAAGATATTCAAATGAAGTTACTGTAAGTATTCTCTACTGTAAGGAAAATGATTTGGTGAAGTGCATTTTGTTTTCAGCATAACGATGTCAGATTTGCCCTACTAAGTTGCATTGACCTATTTTGACTCTAGGCTTTCAGCAGGATAATTAGAGAGGAATTATTTCCAACTCATTAGCATGGTGGTTTTGAAACCTGAGTTCTAAGAATCATCTGGAGAGTTTATGAAACTTACAGACCCCTGGGCACCATCTCTTTCCACCAAATTCTGACTCAGTAGGACTGGGGTGAGGTGAAGGAATTTGCATTTTAGCCTCACATACGGAAGGAGTGGGATTCTGATGCTTGAGGTTCACAGATAAACTGCATTGCAAATGATCAAGTAAAAAGAACCTGTCCCACATGCAGCTTGCATGTCCAGACACAGCTGATAAATAATTAATTCTAATTGGAAGACTCTTTTTAATATCAAAAGGTAAGTTCATATCATGTGATGTTTGTCCCTGGAACAGGATCTCCAACAAGTTGACCACGATGCACAAGCCAGACTTGAAGTCCAGGATGGCTGTGTGACATGAACGTGCAGAAATTCCCAGCAGGCAGGAGTGCTGCCCATCACCTCTTCCGCTGGAAACTTCTCTGATCTCCCCAAACCCACAATTGATCATTTTAGGGAATTTAAATTAGTTTGAGGATGCCTATTGGTGTCTTCTGAAACATAAACAAAGTAGATGGGAGAAAGAAGGCAGGCCTGTCACTGACCCTGGAAACCCATGTAATGTTTGCCTCTGCTTGGCAATATAAAAGGTGAGGATTTCTTTCCACCTGTACACTCTCTTGATGGATTGCTTCTGATGCACGTCTCCTTCTGGTTTAATGTTTATTTAGTAATACAATTATTGTCTTTACTACCTGTGTGGAGTTCTCTGGGTTGGAGAAGACTTTGGTTTTGTGTGCGTGTGTGTGTGTGTTGTTGTTGTTGTTGTTGTTGTTTTCATTTCATCCGGGGATCAAACCTGAAACACAGGTACATGCCCTTGACCAGGAGTCGAACTGGCAACCCTTTGGTGCGTGGGCCGATGCTCTAACCACTGAGAAACATTGGCGAGGGCGAGATTTTGTTTTTAACTATATTTCCCAACACCTCTGAGGAGCAATCAGAGAAGGAACCTCCAAGCTACTAGCTCCTGCCTGAAAAGGTGCAACAACGAAGTAAACTCTCTGAAGTGCACAGCCACCTCCAGCCATGCACACGTTCAGTGGCAGAAGTTAAGGATCTAATTGGCGACGGAGGCTTAAGCACAACCTTGACCAACTTTGTTCCTCTTTTTCAAGAGTGTTTTCCTTATTCCGGGTCCTCTGAATTTCTAAAGGAGATCTAGAACATGACCTAAGCAAAACGCCTTTCAAGGAAGGGTTTCATCGCCCACCTAAGGGCATCAGCAAGCGCCACAGTCTGTATGGTAAATTTCAAAATACTTTCAAAAAACTACATGCTCTGCTTATGAATGAGAAAGCATTTACTCTCCCAGGAAGCTCTTTTTCACTGCCTATCCAAACCTTTTCCATCCATTAGATTCAGCTCAGGTTCTATCTGACCGCTCCAGGTCACGTTACGGTCCTTCCCTAAACAGTGACCTACCTACCACATGTGTAAGACGAGAGCACTTATTCACATAGGTTTTACTCTCAAACTGTGGCAGCAAAGCTGTAAACTCCTCAAGGATAGAGACAATGTTATATATTTTTAAAATTCCTGCCTGTTATAGCTTGATACTTAAATCTGCATTTGTTGGATCGAATGCTACCCCTTACAGTTTTTTTTTAAACTATGAGCTATACATGTTTATATCTTAAATAAATAAAGATATATTTTCTTAATTAGACAGTCTAGCATAACTTTGGGCACAAAAGTATGCAACTGACATCTTTGTTAAATTTAATTAGAAGATAAGGGGATGCAACTAATACACTTAACTTTTTTTTATGGCTGGCAATGATCTTGGTGAATAAATAATTTTATTTAATTAAATGGAGAAAGCAAAAGTCACATGTAAACATTATTATGTATTTAGGGTGTACAAATCAAATGTATTATTTTTATCAGCTTAAAAATGCTGGTTAAACTAATTCAGCTACTTAAGAGCTCATTCCTCAGAATCCCAAATTTCTGCCTTGACTCGCCCCATCACCATGCATCTACCAAACCTAAATATTCAGTACACTTCACAACACTGCTAAGCATGTTCTCCAATAATTTATAGCAACACTCATGTTTTTGTTTGTTTTTTAATCCTCACCTGAGGAAATGTTTTATTGATCTTTTTTTAGAGAGAGAGGAAGGGAGAAAGAGAGAGGGAAACATCGATGTGAGAAAGAAACATCGATTGGTTGTCTCCCATATGTGCCCCAACCAGGGCTCGAACCTGCAATCTAGGTATGTGTATGCACCCTGACTGGGAATCAAACCCGCAGTCTTTATATTTTATTTTATTTTTATTGTTAATCCTCACCTGAGGACATTTTTTTCCATTGATTTTCAGACAGAGTGGAAAGGGGTGGGGGAAGAGAGAGAGAGAGAGAGAGAGAGAGAGAGAGAGAGAGAGAGAAACATCGATGTGGGAGACACATTGATTGGTTGCCTCCTGCATGCACCCGGACCACTGCTTGGGCCAATGATCTAACCACAGAGCAGCACAGGCCAGGCCTGAACGTGCAATCTTTTCGGTGCATGGCATGATGCTCCAGCCAACCGAGCCACCTGGCAGGGCAGCAATACTCATGTTTTCCAAAATATGCTTACAAAAATTATAATTGTTCTAAAATTTTTTTACTTTCTACATTTGAATTATGCCATGGACTGAGTAATAATCTGCAGAAGCAGATTTACCATGAAACAATGGATCTTAAGCTTTAAAGCCCCCCTGGTGCACAGGCCCCTTCCAAGGCCTAGGAGAGGCTGTAGCAACATATCCATATGCAGTTATGTTTTTGTAAATTTTGCAAAAGTTACATATCCTAATTACAATTGCTTAAGATGGCTTTTTCTTTCCACTACTACTTTCCCTTCATCCAATTTTCCAGCTTGTTGGGTGGCACTGGAGTGGCCAGAAGTATTTCAAAGATCCAGGTGAGGGAAGGTTGAGGTGGAGACACATTTAGCTTGGATTTAGCAGGATATACTGATGTAGTTATCAGTCACTTCTCTGTATAATTAGGTTACTGGTAGTCTCTTCCAGGATACACTTTCTTCCATGAATAGTCCAAGTGCCTACTCTGTGACTCACCAAGCATCATAATATGAAGATGAGGGATATTGGCTATATTATGTTATGAACATGGAGAGAGCCAGAGCCATAAGTGCTCTGTGGAGAATTCATCCAACTATTAGACACGAAAATTGTAAGTTGGAGATTTGACCTCATTGTCTTCTAATCAAAATGGAATTTCTATTTTGTCTAAAATAAGCTCTATATGACAGTGTATACAACTATAAATGTGTCACATGTATTTTTTATGGGACTCTTATAAAACAAAAAATTTCACAATTATTCATATTTCTGTGACTAATAAGTACAAATTTACAGCAACACACAAACAGTGAGTGCCTCTGAGAGCAAACCTGCATATCTATGTATCTCAGCACATCAGACTGCATCTTGGCATATCTGACACATCTTAGAGATTTTTTATTGATTGATTGATTGGAGAGAGATGAAGAGGGGGTGGTGGGGGGGGGAGAGAGAGAGAGAGAGAGAGAAACATCAATTTGCTGTTCCACTTATTTATGCATTCACTGGTTGGCTTCTTCACTTGGCATTCTCCCAGAGTGCATGTAGTTGTGTCCAAATTTCCCTTTTCTAATGACAACAGTCATTAGACCCACACTAATTACATCTGCAATGACCCTATTTTCAAATAAGGTCACATTCTGAGGTACTGGGGGTTAGGACTTCAATGTACGAATCTGGGGGGAACACAATTCAACCCTAACACTAGGATTACTGCCACTAGTGAAACTTTCTGGAGTTCCCAAATATCCTTGAATTTCATAAGTGTCTTTTACACCATGGAGCCAAATTTATAAAATATTATCATTACTAACATCTCCAGTTAAAGATAAATATCTTAATTCAACAAGCAACCAACTGAGGTTAGACACCAACTTAAAAAGATAGTTATTAATCTAAAGTAACCAACCACATTGTGGGCATTAGTGGGGGATAAATCTTCGTACACGCCATGGTACTGAGGAAAGGGCTGTGGGCTGGAGGTCAGGAAATTCGGAGCCAAGTCCTAGCTCTGACACTCACCATAGGAACATCGGGACAGCCACTGCTGCTTCTTATGGAGGAGCTAATATAATCTCTATATTCTTAAGGATTCTTTCATTCCTATCCTATTTTGCCATGCTCTGTTTTGTGCTGTTCTTTTTCTATTCACACACAAATACATGAGCAACAGAGAGATAGATGACACAAATAGACAAGGATATTTATAACACATGCTCATAGACTCAGAGATTTTTAGAAATGGAAAATTTTCATTTACTACCCTTATTTAACACACACAAAAATGGAAGCTTAGGGAGGCAAAGTGACTAGTCCTAACACATATGTCATTCCTTGCTTGAATAACTAAATATGGAAAGAGTCCCGAAATTAACTTCACAGACCTAGGGGCTGCCATGGATGAACTTTAGGGGTCTATAGACCTCCTGAGAGTTTGTGTACGAAAACTGGCATGAATATGCATGTATGTATTTTATTTCTTTTTTGTTAGAAGGAGTCTCTAGTTTTCACCAAATCCTCAAAGGGAACTATTTTTGCTCACATAAATCCTAAGTTCTTATGCCTAAATGTCTGGCATATAAAAGATACTTAGTAAACATTAGTTGATTTATGTATAGTGAATTCTTAACCAAGAAAAGTTAATAACCACTGAAATAAAGTAAAATAGAATAGTTATTCTCTGGAAAGTAATCCTGTTACCTGCTCCCATAATGCTCTGTCTGCAGTTTTTCATCAACCTCTAGATCCAAGCCCTGGTTGAATTATACAATGCTGTGTGTGTCTATTAAACCAATTAAGAAGGATGTTTAAATCACAATTTCGTCTCCTTTAGGAAATCATCCATCTTTGTATTTAACTTTACCATTCTATTTAATTAACAAGGGTTTAATGGCAGTTAAAAATGATATATTAATTAGTTTAGGAAATTACTTTGTCCTTATTAAAGTAATTTAAATGTTTTAATGCTTGTCATTTTCCTTAGTTCCATCAAGTAAGAGATACTATATTCAATTACACCTGAGTTACCTTGCTTTCCTATTGCTCCAAGCACCAGGGAAAACCTCTAGTGTATCGAGGATGTGCACTGGAGCAGTGATCGAGACTGTGACTTTCAGAAAAGCAGGGGAATGCCTGAGCCCAAGGTGTGTGGATTCACAAGCAGAGAGCAGCAGCACCACAGAGTAGGTGCTCGAGAAATACGTGGTGCCCGACCGGGGAGGCTCAGCGGCTGAGCGTCAGCCTAGGATCCAGGCGATTGGGGTTCGATTCCCGGTCAGGGCACATGCCCAGGTTGCGGGCCCCATCCCCAGTCGGGGGCGTGCAGGGCGTACACTCAGTAATATACACAGTAATAGACACACAGTAAAGAAAAAGCCATAACTAGGAAGTAAAGTTTGCCACACATTTAACCAATAAAAGTTACTATCTCGCTCTCTCGCTCTCCCTTCCTCTTTCTGAAATCAATAAAGATATATTTAAAAAAAAAAAAAGAAATACATGATGAATTAGTGAAAGAAAAAAGAAGTAGCTACTAATGCTAGGAAGACAGAAAACCCTCTTTGAGCAGGACGCCATCAACCTTAGAACAGCTGATAGGACATCCATCAGTGGAGGGTGATGTAATTAATCATCTGAAAAAGAATATGTTTTTGTGAGACATTAGGGAATGGCACCAAGCTGATGATTATCAACACAGATTTCAAATGCAATTGTCTGTCTCTAGTTATCAATCATTTCTTTTTGGTAATTTGTTACTAAGGTCTTGCAAATGGGGTCTCAGGACAAAAGAAGGATGATATTCTGCAAGAAGCAGGCCAGGCCGTTCGTGCCGTACATGTATATAATAATGAATTAAGTTTTAAAACCCCCACAAATGTTATTTACAAGTAATTTTCACTCTTCAGAAGCATTTACAAATAATTTACTTTGCCAATGGATATTAAAAGCTCCCTTCCTCACAAGGGTGGGTCTTACTCATACTTGTGTCCCAATCCCAGGAAAAAGTAACTGCTTAACAAATGACTGTGAATGTATACTTATAAATTAGGTATAATCAAGAGCATTATTAAGTATAATCTAGGCAGATTCCACAAAATCTTGCTATTTACCTTGTCTAGCTCACTAGCCTACCCTGTATAACAGAGAAAGAGTGGATTTCTCATCCCCAAAACCTCCTGAATGAGTAAGTGATCAGTTTGACATCTTTGACTTAATGAACACAGGGACTTGGGGTGCTCCCATGGTTAGTACCAAGACAACAGGGATCTCCCTATGTCTTTACTCTGGAACCCCTAGAACAAAACAATCTTTGATTATTTTGGAAAGAAAAGAACCTAAGATTCAGATCTTCAAAGACACATCAAATTGAAAGCATTTACCTACCTGGAGGGGAGGTTTCTTTGTATCTAGCTTCTTTTTCCTAGCAGCCGAGAATGAAGTCTTGGGAGAAACTGTGGATGCTTAAATAAGAACAGACATTTTGTTGTTGTAAATTCTGTTTTAACTTATTCACGTTATGATCCATTCATTAGGTGTATACTAGGCAGTTCTTTAAAATGGTGTTGTAGAAGAATATTTAATGAAAAATGAAATAACTTGTTTTAACGTTTCCTTCTTTTTTATGATATCTTGAAAAGTACTTCATATCATTAACAAATAAATACAATGTGGCAGATAGGGACCCAGAATTGGTAGATTGCAACTCAGAAATAAATTCCAGTGTTTGTGCAACCTTATTAGGCAGATATATTCTTACTTTCTAAACTTCTTTCAGTTACATCAAGAGTTCCTTTTGGTGGAAGAACAGTGTGGACATTTTTCAGGGTGGAAGAACCTGTCTTCATTACACAGGAACATACAGATATTTCCTCACACTTCATCTTAGCAATTATCCGACAACGACCCTGAAAAAAGACAGTGAATGAGTGAGAAAGAACCTTGGAGTTCGTAAGTGCATCACCTTCTACATTGAATATAAAGATGATTTAACTTGCAGCTTCAAAAAGGAGTTGACACTATTGAACCGTCTGTCACTGGGCAATCTGTGGTCAGGTTCAACTAGCCCCCTAGCTCGAGAGCTGATCACACATACGAAAGCCATTTAGAGGGTATAATCACTGGCTGTCGCTCCCTGCCAGAATTTTAACTGCAAAAGTTAATGCTTCATTGTGTACTTACAGATATGATGAATACAAGAAAGTAGGAGTTCAAGTTGTCAGAGATAATGGTTGTTCCAGTCCTGAAAGAAAGGGGGGGTAGGGGTGGCATTCAGAGACCACTAAGAATATTTATTCAAACAAAAATACTCATTGAGATTATTATGTGCTAGGCTAGAGATAAAATGAGCAAAACCGAGACAGCCCCTCACTGTATGGAGTCTGATGTATTTTTCCAGGCACAAGCAATTCTTGAGCATCAATGTGCCAACACCACAGATTTGGGGGGTGGGGGCGGCCTATAGCGCCTAGTCTGGAAAAGCAAGAATATGTTCTATTTGAGCTCTCCTTGGAGATATTAAAGAAATGCACCATAAACAAAAGTGGGAAGCAATAGTATTCAGGTACATGTGCAGTGATGTAGGCAGGATCATTTGAGGTAAGATTATTAAGCAGATGAAGCTTGACTTCGGTGCTCTGCAGCTGTTTATATGCAGAATTTCCTTTCATTGGGTGCCTCTGAGGTTCCCTGGCATCTTCCTAAGGTCTACTCGTTTATATTCACCATGCACAGCCTCAGAGATAGATAGTCCAAGGCCAAAGAACTGATTTCTACTAATATGGTAAACTAATTTCTAATAACTGATTTAGTCATTCTCCTAAATAAGAGATAATAAATTTTAACTTCAGCCTTGTAGAGACACGTGGAATAGCAACAATGCTTTATGTTCTCATGTGCTATTAATTTCTTTATAAACATCAGTGCCAGTTACCTTTCTCTAGGCAAAGGTATTTTCTCCTAATGTCTCTGAGGCTGTCGAAAGTGCTGGATGCGCCCACCTGCCTCCCTCTCCTGATCTCACTTCTTCACCCGTCTACACTGCACACCTGCCCACTCTCACCGACAGCCGCACTCTCAGGGCTCCCTGTGGTGCCGCCTGGGCTATTTCCATTTCTGGGCTCTCCATCAGTGTGTGTCACTCAAAAGCTGGCTTTACACTTATTTTTTCCAGGAAACTGTTAATCGCCCCAGTTGATTAGACACTTCTATAACTAATTTGTATTAATATTGATGTGGCTGTTAATTTGCTTGTTTTGATTGACCCTCCTCTAAATGTACTATCTTGTTGTTTCATGTGTTACATTCCCTAAGGACTTTTCAATCCCCTTAAAATCAGGAACCACAACCTCCAGTCTTTTTTTCCCCCTACTCTCTTCATCCCATCTTCCCATTCTCCAGAACAGTACACTTTAAACTACGGGCTTCTATCAATTAGCAGATCATGAAATCAGCTGTATAAGTCTCCTCCTAACATCTTCAAATGAAACTGAATAGAACCTAAGAGAACTGGAAACATCAGAGTGCCTCACCCATGGTGAGGGCAAGGATCTTTCTAAAACTCTGACACAATGAGGGCCGCGAGTATGTGTTAGGCTATGATTTAAAATATACTTCTACGTTGTGACCAGAAAACTTTGAGAAACATGGTCAGGGATTTACTAAATATTTGTCCTATGTAAGAAAGTTGTCTTTGCAAATTTATTTAGATCCCCTAGCAGTTGCTCTTGGATTCCTGACTTATTTCCCTTTGGCTTTTAATGGCACCCCTGTTGGCTCTAAGTATCACCTAATGACTCTAGATTAGACCCTGCCTGCCCCTCGGATCACAGGCTGACCTCTGTGTGCCACTATCCACACTGACCCTGCATGCTCTCCGCCCATGTTGTATCAGATGCACATTGCCCCTCCTGCCAAAAAAAAAGCCCAGACATGATGGTGGCAAAGCTCCTGGTATATATAAATGTATACACCTGGTTCTTTAGGGGAGTAGAGTTTAATATCCTCTTTCTAGATTAAAGTAACTGACTTTATTATATAATGGGAGGAAAAAGGCTCAGGAAATTAACATTTCTTAGAGCTACCTGGGAGTAAAACTCTAATTTGTGAAGGAGCACTAAGACCCATGATCTTAAATGAGCAATTCAGTTGAATTTTAAAAATAGAGCAGCAAATATTCAGCGTTTTGAAGAAATAAGTCCTGTGAGAAAAATTCTAATTACTAGTTATTACCTGATGTGATAGTTGTTATAACAAAGACTATTTAAAAGATCAGTTATAATGAAAATTATATTTCAGTTATAGTTTTTCTTATTCTTGCTTTATACATAAAGATATAAATCAAAGGTAGAGCCAATATTCTTATAATTTAAAAAATGTTCCTAATACAAATGCTTTGCTTCAAAAATGGTTTAGAAGGGATTTTCCTCTATGATTATTTTGGTCAAAAGATAGAAATTGGGTAGTGATTTGAGGGAAACTGTACCTTTTACATTACCATGGTAATAATCTACACTTTTACATTCTGGTACAGGCGTAACATTCCATCTGCACTTTGCCTGGGAGCCACAAATGGCTGTTGATGCCATCAGTTGCTCTTACAACATTTAGAAAATGAAGCTCATTTGCTTATCTTATTTGCTGCGCTTTAGCCAATGTGGAGAAAAGAACATATAAATGAGGTTTCTTTTGCAGAGGCAGCTATAACTTGACAGAAAACTGCCAGGATTCATTTTACTAGACAGTATATATTAAGTACACACAAGGGGAATAGAAATTCCCTGGAAAACTGAGGGATACCCTGTGTCCCGCATAATTATATGACTAGTTTTACAGTTTTGGCGTGGAAGCCCTAAAACCTTGAAGAGGCTAGAAGAAGACCTACCAAGATACCTCTGGAGTTAGAAAGCCCGTTAGTATCAGCACAATTGATAATACACGGCTGCCTACTTTCTGTCAACAAACAACAGTAACAAGTGGGTAGGTTAAGAAAATGGGTGGGTAGGGGGCAAAATGATTAATATCAAACCTCTAGTGAGGGTTTGAAGCTTCTTCCTAAGTTTGAACTGGTCCATAAGCCACAGCTGTGTCCCAGCTCTGCTCTGCACCCAGGGGAGCAGGGAGGGACTGTCTGGCATGTGGGACATGGCAAGTACCCAATAAATGTCTGTGACAGTTGGCTTCATCTTACAGACCTCATTTAGTTTCCTTTCATTACCATCTTCTCGTGTCTTTTATATTTTCTTCTATTCCCTTCATGGAATATTCTATTCCCTTTTTGGAACAAAAGAGTTATAAATAAATTTGACATAAAGGTAAATTAAATGTCGTTGAAGAGTAAAGAGAATAAGTAGGTGCCGCAGAGAACTCATACACCGGCATGCTATGGGGTTTCAAAGGATGGAGGAGTCCCGTAGGGACAGAGGAGCCAGGCAGGGTTTCACGAAAGAGGGGATTTTGACATGATTATAAGCGACAGGTAGGAGTGTGACTGGCAGAGAGGATTCTTAAAGATGAAGAGAGTCGAGTCTTCTAATTCACTTAATAAATTTTACTCAAATATTGATTTATTGATTCTAAATGAGAAGCTTAGGATACAAATGTAAATAGAGAACCTGTAGTGTCGATGTAAAGAACAGTGAAGCAGAAAGTCTATCTTTTCTTTTGGCCATGAACGGAATAATGAGAGATTCCTGTTGAGAGAGGAAAACAAATTGATCAGAATTTAGGACACTCCAAGCCATTTGAATTTTTAAAAGCAGCTATAATTTCTATTATTCATTCTATGACTGTCTTAGTCTGTTCAGGCTGCTATAACAGAATACCATAGACTGGGTGGCTTATAAACAACAGCAACTTCTTTCTCAAAGTTCTGGAGGCTGGAAAAGGCCGAAGTCAAGGTGCCAGCAGACTCGGTGCCTGGTGAGGGCCTCGTCCTGGTTCACAGAGGCCGTGTTTTCACTGTGTCCTCACATGGTGGAAAGCGAGAACTCTGATCTCTTCAGCCCCTTCTAAGGGCACCAATCCCATTATGAGGGCTCCACCTCATGACCTAATCACTTCCCAAAGGCCTCTCAACACCATCGCATTGGGGATTAGGTTTCAACACATGAATTTGGGGAAGACACAAGCATTCAGTCTACAAGAATGATCAAAGTCAAAATGCATTACTTCTCAGTTCGGTAGTTCCTACTCTTGGCACAGGAATAGTCTCCTTACGTCTCACGCCCCCTTCCACCTGCCTGCTCTAGCCTCACCTGAGAGTGCTGTCTACCTTGGGGCATCTTCCAAGCATGCAGGGGACTAAGGCTCCTTGTCAGAAGGGTCCCCTGTGCTTAGTAACACTATTCAAGTCCTCTGAGATTCTCCTTTGCCTTAGGGAGACCTGGCACAGGCCCATGACCCTGAGGAACAGAAGAAGGTGAGGGGATCCTGACACACTATTTACACAGCCCCTCTGAATCCAAAGCCCTGCTTCCTAGCCCTGTCCTGCGGACCCTTTGTGGAAGAGAACTTGAATTCTGGCACCAGACAGGGTTAGACTAGAGCAGTGTTTCCTAAAAAGTCATCAAGTGCACTTGTTAAAAGTACAGAATCCCAAGCCCTTCTCCAGGTCAGGTTCCAGGTCAGGACAAGGTTCCAGGTCAGGACATCTGGGGCAGGGGTGACAACGTGTTTTTAACAAATGTCCTAGATGATCCCCAGGACTTTTTGGCATTTAGAGAAATACAGAATTGCACTTTTCTGTGCCTTCTTAGACCTGGTGATTTAGGCTTCCAGCCTGTTTCTTGAGGGGAGGAGTTAACTCTTCTTTCCAGTTAATTTCCACAAGTTCCAACTCCAGCCAGCCTCAATCCTGCCCTTCTTTCTTCCATATTCGCAGCATGTCTTATAGCCAGGGTCACCCTAACCATGACACCTTTAACCCAGAAGGAGCTCCTTGACCTATGATTCCGTCACACGCCTCACAGAGAACCACCCCTACCTCGGGGCTCCTACCCCCGCACCCCGCTCCCTTGGATCAGTTTCCATGTACAGTACTGCAGGCCCGCATCGGAATGGAATTTTCCACTCCATGGGCACGGTGATTTTCATCTCTGGGCCTTCCTGAATGGGCACCAGCTCTTTATGCTATTAGTTTCTTCTGGCCCTTGTTGGTAACTTCCAGTCTATAATGTTAGCAGCCTATTTATGATATTTGTTACACTTTAAAATAATACATAAAAATATTTACCACACTGCCATGCATATGCAAACAATTTTTGCAAATAATATTCCCAAATAATTTTTCCTAGTTGTCTAATGTATACAAGATTTATCTCTCCAGTTTAACAAACCTAGTAATCATAATAATCTCTTATTTAATATCTTTACTTATGCAAGCCATTTTACATATAAAATATATTTTATACATATAATAAAATATATTTTAAGTTTACTTTATATTTATTTTCTCCCTAAGAACAGAGTCTATACCCTCCAACTTTCTTTCTTACTCTAACTTATCTCTCACAGCACTACAAAGCACAGAAACACAGTAAGTGATCAATAATTTATTACAAAATTAATAAAACAAATGAAGGATTTAAGGTATACCACAACAACTGAGTGATAGTGAGAACTAGTAATCAACCTCAAAGATTAGAATGCATAGAAGTCACCTGTCGGAGGAATCTAATATATCAACCACGAAATGTCAAAGAAGAGAGCTCTGCATTTTTAGCTCCTGAGTCATCTTAGATGTCAGAGGTCCATGTATCAACCTACTAGACAAGTGGAAAGTAAAAGAGAACAAACGAAAATACAACTACCCCAAACTTCCCCCCCACCTGAAAATAATGAATGTGAAGGTTGGTGGAAACAATAAAGGTTGGTAGAAATCTAGAAAGTGGCAATTTCCATGTTTATGTTGGGATATAGCCTATGTGGAAGTGATTGGTTGATTCAGGGTCAGTAAAGCTAATAAATACAGGGAAGAGTTAGCACCTCTGCCCAGGAATTCTGCTTCTAGAGACTCCTCATAGAAATCATGATGGTTTTCTCTACAAACGCTTCCTTTTGAGTCAATTGCAGTTTGAAAAATAGAAAGCTCTAACAGAAAAAGGGTGGGATGGATGTGAGTTAATACGGGAACGGTCATTCACTAAGCACTTAGTACTTCCCAAGCTCCACACTTAGGGCCTCACTCATGCTATCTCAGTTCACCCAGGCAGCACCTTACACGTGAGAAAGCTGAAGCTCTGGGAAGTGAAGTGACTTGTCCCAGGTCACCCAATGGCAGGGCCAGGCTCCTAACCAAGGTCAGTCTGACTCCAGAGACAAAGTTCTTTTCCCAACATCAAACTTCCAATTCAACTCAACAAAAAGCTATTAAGCACTTGTGCCAGGCACTGTTTTAAGCTCCAAGGACATGGCATGAAACACACAAAATCATGCCTTCAAGTAGTCTACATGCTTGGGATTCCCAAATCATCACTCAGGATATTTAGGGTCACTTAAGATATCTCTAAAATGCCTGGTGAGACACTGAGAAAGGAATGACGATGCTATCTGAGTCCTAACTCAATAAGAACTCCATCCAGAGGTATTTTGCATTCATTTATATATGGCTCACTAGAACCAAGGCAATTTTTTTCTTTATTTGAAATTCAATGGAAGGCAAAGAAGACATTCAGACACTGAATGATATTAGAAAGGGCCTGATTAATGTCTCATAAATGTTAATTTCATGATTCATCTTCCACCACTACTACTCCACAACATCAAACTGTATTATATACCAGTAGATTCCAGGGCTCACTTGGTCATTATTTATTTTGTCATATTTAATTTTAAAAAGTAATTTTCTCCATTCCACACAGACACTCCATGTAGCTGCAATTACAGTTTTTATTCTGGCCTTTCCTTGACCCCAAAACTTCCAAGGACTTTGCAGAGTGACTGAAATTATAAAGGAAATTGAATTTAGCAAGCCATTTCCAAGACTCTCCAAAGTTTATTTATATAATCAAGCAATGTAGAATTATTCTTCAATATCAATCAGAAATCTTCTTTTGCACCCACAACTTTTTTCCTTTTAAGGATAGAATAAAAATTAACTGGGAATTACTGTCTTGAGATTTGGTATCACGTTGACCTAAAGATTCAGGTAAGCATCAACCCCAAAACAACTCTGGGAAAACTACTTTGACCCCTGTATTACCAAGAGGTCTTGCACTGGAATGAGAAAATTTGCAATTTTGAGTGTGACCTGATTTTTACCGAGATCAGTGTTACAGAAAATATTACCATCCTATTTCTTGTTAATTCCAGTCCCTTCCCAGGTGCCTCCTGAGGAACACTTCTAAAAGCGAGCTATCTAGGGACTTGGGGCAACTGTAAGTAACTTTGCCATCCAAAGGAATAACTCAGTAAAATATAAATACAAATTCTCTTCTCTGTCTCACCTACCCTGTTCATTAGGATTCTTCTAACACCCCATTCTCTTTCCAGGAATTCACAGAAGTGCACACACACCATAACTATAAATGGAAGTGACTGACCTGGTTTTGGGTTTTGTGGAAATAATGAGATTATATTATACAAGTAATAGAAGGCAGTTGGAAAGAAAGAGAGGAGCAGAGAGCTGTCAGGTATGATAAAGGAGCATAGAAAATTGGCAGAAACTAGATGAACAGGGAAAGAGAAGAAACTAACACTAAAAGGAAAGATTATTTAGGAACTATTATTGGAAATCCCTGTGGATTATTACAAACCTTCCCTTTTTCCTAGAGCATTTAGTGTCACTGCCTTATACAGCACTCAAAGAACTTACATTCTGGCATTTAAAAAGGAAAGAGAGAAACTCTTCATATATCTAATAAGTTGTTTCGATTTAAAAATTAATTTTTGAAATAGTTTAAGTCTCACGAGAAATTGTTTAAGTACAAAGTTCCTGTGGACCTTTCACCCAGCTCCCCCCAGTAATATGCTACATCGCCTTAGCATTGTCAAAACTAGGACACTGCTGTTGTTCAGTATTATTAACTCAGGCACAGACCTTACTCAGATTTTTACATGAACACTTTTCTTTTTTTGGTCTATTGTTCTAGAAAGTTTTACCACAATGTAGATTTGAGTAACAAACACTTCAATCAGGATGTAGAAGGTTCCATCACTACAAAGAAACTCCTGGGTGTTACAGCCCCAACACCAGCCGTGCGACCTCTGGCCTACTCTCTTTTACTCTAACTTTGTCCTTTCTAGACTGTTATATTATCATTCAGTGTGTGACTCTTTGGGATGGGCTTGATGAGCTTGCCCATAAGATTCGTTCTTTACATTGATTTTTAAAGTTCCCATTAAGCAAACTAAAATAAAACCAACAACACCTTAGCGTCAAAACCAATTGAATTGTTTTCCACATGCAGAGAAAAAAAGCATTTTAGAATTATAAAATAGAATGCTTGCATGTGCGATGTGGAATAAACTGTAGAGCTGTTAATGGAGTTACTTCTTAGAGGAGATTATAAAGAAATGGCTTTGGCAAGTTGAAGGATCTTATTTTGACTTCACTAAAACTACGATGTCAGGGTCTCTGGGACCACAGCATTTTGGTTTATTGCTCAAATAGTTGTTGCTCTTTGTGGAGAGTAGACTAAAGTTTTAGAGATAAAATTTTCATTAAGAACTTGATCAAATGCCAATTCCTGCA